GTAGTGATAAAATCAAAGGTGAACCCTTAACCACAAAGAAAGACTTGTGAATCACTTGAACTGTTGGCAAACTTAAAAAGGTATGTAGGAGCTGTATTCACTGGTACTGATTGTGTATTTTCTTTCTATTTCTGTGTTTTCTGGCAGAAAACCTTCATCACATTCCTTTTAACATTCTGTACAACGTAATGCAGTCCTATAAGGAGCTTCTCTACAGAGACACAGACCTGCTTACTAGCATTTCAGACCATGTTGCCTCCACATTTGACATATGGACCGATAAACAGGTGCTGGAAGAGACATTTATCTTCTAAACTTCTAACTATATTCAGTTGCATAATAATATACCCTCTTTTTTTCAGCTGGTCTTCTTCCTGTCTGCATTTAAGGATCTTCTCTTCTGTCCTACCTCCTTAATGGAGCCTTACACTGAAAAAGTGATTGCCAACCCTGATGCGCTCACCCTTAAACACCTCATGTCTGTCTTAGCTTCTTACTCCTCGCTTAACTATGATCTGCGGCATCAAAGACAGGCGTAAGTCACCAACTGTTCCTTAGCAATCAGAATTGTCTGACTAAAGATGTTTTTTTTACTTTTAAGTATATATTAGCAAACAAAATTAGCAGATAAATTAAAGTTTAAGTTCAGGTGTAGACTGTGTGCCAGTTTAATGTTCAGAGAGAAGTGCTAGATGTGATGAATTAGAAGAAGGTGCAGATTTGTTCCTCTGGTGTCTTGTCGTACCTGGATCACTATCTGACCTCTACAGTTACTCTGGCAACAAAACCAAGTTTAAAAAAAAAAAGCTAAGGTGAGTATGATTTAATAATTTTATTGTTTTGGACATTAACTTCACTTCATATTGTCAAAGCAAGGGAGCCCTTCAAGTTAAAGTGTGTATAAATGTAATGTGTACACACACACACACACACACACACACACACACACACACACACATACACATACACAGCAGTCACCAAGCTCTTACCATTGAGGGAAAATGCTATGTGCCTCTGCATGTTGTAATTAGGATTTTCTCCAAAATAATAAGTAATATTATATTAAATCGCACATATAGAGCACACAAAACAATCACATTAAGTAAGCATAAATTTCCTACTTTGTTCTGAAAGTTTTTCATAAAATGAAGATGTTATTGGACAATAAAACAGCTATGTCCTCGTATGGGCTGCTTTTTCTGTTTTTCTTTAAATTGTTAGAGCAGCATTCTATGAATCAGGCTTTGGCTTTTGCCAACTTCTGCTTGTAGAAACATTGAGGCTAATATTTCAAACATCTAGGAGTTGTATATTAAGTGTTTAACTGCTGCTGTTACATATGAAGATAGATTTTTTTTTCCTTTATTGTTTTTCACATCTTTAGGTTTCTTGATAGTCTCAGCCATGCTCTCATCTCCTACCTGCCCAAAATGTCTGAGTTGGAGTTGCTAAAGGCTGCCTACTACCTGTGTGGAATGAATCACTTCCCATCTGCACTCCTGGAGCAGCTCCTGAGCAGTAGTACGCTGGAGCAGCTAGCATGTAAGGATAATCATCCCATAAACTTGCACTGTCTGACAGGTTAGGCTGTATTTCATTTGTGTGTTTGATTTTGCATTTCTAAATTAAACTATTTTCTTCTCAGCTACAAGTCTCACAAAGAGCAAGGAGAGAATGTTTCAGAGAGTGGACATATGTCTCCGTCTGGACCGTCCTCCTCTTCCTCAGCCTTTGATTGTCCCCCCTTCCGTCCTGGGGAGCCCCACTCCCAACCCGTCGGTTAATCCGCGCCTCTCAAACAGCCTGCAGAGTGTGCTGGCAGATCAGGCGAATGCAACGCTGCAGGAAATGTTGGTGGTAGAGAACTTCTACATCATAGGTAAAGATCTTGGTCTTGGTCTTGGAGGAAGGACGTTGGCGTGCACGAACTGGTTCAACACACGTGTTTTTATGTTCTCGCTCTCAGATGCTGTTGTAACCAAACCTCTTCCAAACCAGCCGTGTGTGACGGAAACAAGTAGCGTTTCCCCAGCAGAGAGCAGTCAAAGGTAAGGAAATGGCAGCAGTAGACTGGTTGGTCTCGCAATTAAGCTCAGCTTTTTTTTTGGGGGGGGAAATCTGCAGTCTGTGGTAGGTTTTTCTTTTTTTGTTTTTTTTTTTAGTAAACGCTTATGTCATATTGTAAAGTTTGCTATGAAAGCAGGTAATGATGTTTCCAGGCAATGATATCCTCTGTGATTTCTCACGTACAACTGCTGTCCTACAGATGTTGTAATTTTTGTTCTGTTGTTTCCTCTATTGATTAATTGTTGACACCAGTTTTATTGCATCCATCATAAGTTTCTCCTCATGCAACTTTTTTAAAAAATGACTATAAATAACTCAAAAGACTAATAAAGAGTCAGTCTTTCTGGTGAGACGTCTTTTGGAGATTCAAGTCGTTTTTGAGGGTGTTTCATATCAGCAGCGTAACAGGCAAAGTTTTTCAGAAATGAAACTTTATCGCATCTTTGCTGAGGACTTATTCCTCAACAATAAATCAAGTAGAATGTATTCATTAATATTTTTGTCATTTTAAAGTCAAAGAACAGCTTAGAAGTTTAGTTTTTTAATGCGTGGGCAGCCTGAGCGTTTTTGTTGATAAAGGAGTTTTTTCTTTTTCCGCTGATTGTGATGATTTCAAAAACATTTACCAAAAAACAATTAGTCATTTTTGAATTGTAGACTTTGCAAAGCAGTCTGAGTAGTTACACTGTACATCTTTTTCTGATTTCTATCTCATCATCTGCACTTTGACCCTGTTTTTAAGCTGTTTATTATATCTAGTTTTCGATACAGGGGAATTTAGTAAACTTTTATATTTACTGTCATTTAAGTGTTGGGATTTTATTTCTCCCCTGCTTTTATCTGGATTAATAATTCTACGCCAAATTACTGAAATAAAAACAGCTGCAACTGTTAACTTAGCTTTTTAATTGGAATGATATTGGTATGAATATATGCGTCATAACACTTTATTAGTACTGTCGAACATGAGTTTATTTCAAGCCATATTTTGAATTTAGACCGTAGTAAACTGGCAACATTTAAAAAGAATACAAACATTAACAAAATCAACAATAAAGTGTCAGGAAAGATGTTCAGATGACTGCTGAAATGTTTTCCGATTCATTAAAAAGCAAAAACTTCAACAACTTAAAAATCCTGCTTGGGACGAGAAGGAAACTAACCTGAGCTGAACAAAGAAGAGTTGGACAAAGAAAAGCTTGGAACTTAAATAGCTGGGGTATAACTGAGATGGGGTGGCAAAGGTGGGTACAAGGGGCCTAATTGCAAAGACATAAAAGCTGAAGTACAACCAAATAGCTACTGGAGCTAAAAGGAGAAACAGGCCTGACAGGAACCTCAGAATATGAGGACAAATGCAGACGCGTAGCACTAAGAAACTAATAATAAGGAACTACAGCAACAATGAAATGGTGCTGAACAAAACTAGACATAAGACTCCAAGCAAAAGAAAAGAAAAGGGGAATAATCAAAGTAAACACACCGACTGGAATAACCTAGGCAAACTATTCAGAAAGGGTTTTAAAACACCCAACAATTGTTGCATAAAGATCATGAAAAATGTAAGTAATCATACCGAAGAAGTTTATCTTTACTTTTTTGTTTTCTCCCTCAAAGAGGGATATTTTGTTTTTTGTTAAAGCTGACACATCTTTTTTTTTTGTATGTTTGCTTCTTGTTCTAGAATTGCTGTTATTTATACACCAAACTCTAGTTATTGCTTTGGTACGTCACAGCCCCGGGGGCCCCTCGCTCTCCAGATCCGTCATCTGAAGTTTCTGGGATACACTCCTGTCTTGGTGAGACTTTTGTCTTATTGTACCCATGAATCTTCCCTGTTGTCTCTCAGTAACAGTTTGGTTACTCAATTTCTTAATACGCAGCCCATACTTTAGCAATTTATTAAATGTATTGAATGAACATTGCTTTAAGTATGATGTGAATTCGTACGGTTTAAAAATCTGTAGGCAATGTCTGTTTAACGTCTTCCTGCAACGTGACGTTAATAAAATGCGAGCAGGTTGATGTAGTTGTGTATGTTGAAGTAGCGGCTGGTATCAGATGAAGCAAAGCTTAAATTTGTATTCTTCATCTGAAGGTAACGGAGGAGCTTCTACAATCTTTATCTGAGGAGGAGATGACAGAGAAGTTGCGAGGACTCATTTTTCCAGAAGACGCATCAGAAACACAACCACAAGTGGGACATGTGGAATCCTAAACACATCAAACAGGACTCTCTACATGGCTCAGACTTTATTGTGCAAATTAATTCTTTGTCAAAATGAAAACGTGTATATAATGATATTAATGAAGTGTTTAAAAATGAAGGGCTTTGAATGTATTTTCTGTTTTGGTCGGCACGAAAGAACTGAGCCGTTCCTTTGAAATGCATTTTTTTGTAATAAGAAAAACCTTTTCTATTTTTAAGATTTCAAACAGCTTTGTAATGGCATTACAGCAAATACCTGAGATGATCTTTTCTTCTGAGAGTTGCTTATTCAGTCAATATGGAAAAAAAAACTGGCACGATAACTGTCAAATGACAAATTTATATGTGTTTTTAGTCATCTGCTTAACTCCCAAATCAGTTTAAAGGCTTCACAGAAACGCTGTGCTAATTCCGTCAGTGCTTGTGGTGACTGTGAAAAGAAACTTGCTACTAAATGAAACCAATAAAACCAGCGTGAGCGCTTGCACAGAAACTGCAAGGTGAGCACAGTAAAGGTGGCGTGCCTTTGAAGCTCCGACCTCTGCAGAAAGTACCAACAACCGAAGAGAGAGAGAGAGAGGGAAAAAAAAAACATAAATGTAGGGAGACAGGAAATGGTGCAGCTTGTTATTTTCAGTCTGCTTGCAGCTCCTTGTGTTTATGCTAGTCATCAACCTCAGTTCGGTCTCTGTGTTGATTCTCAGAAAATGAATGAGGACACACGTTCGCAGGAGAGGCGTTGCGCCTTGTTTAAACAATTTATTTAAGTTGTGGTCAGTGTTGATCCACAAGGTGTTGCACTGATTTGCGAACTCAAGAGAACTCTTTAAATGTGGTTAAGTCCCCTCATTGAGGCACCACCTTCTGTTTCGACCACAAAGATAGGGGTTCCCAAGAACACATCTTTCTTTTACAGTGAGCGAAACAGGAAGTGAGCAAAACCTGACACTGTCTTTAATATACGCATCATTGTTTCAGACGCCCACATAAAGGAAGCGCTGCTTTTGCTAGAGATGAACACACACACACAAAAAAAATTAAACAAAAGAAACCGATTACAGTTATGTTATATTCATTGTAAGTCCTACAGATGAGGAATAGCAAGGAAAATGATCCAGGGCTGTCCGACTCATCAGAAGTGTCTTGGTATAGGATGCTGGACTCCTCTTTTCTTCCTCTGTTTCGCAGGAGGTCTGGGTTTGGTGTTCATGTAGTCGCTCTGGGAATCTGCATCCTTCATTTTGTACTGCGAGACATTCAAAGCAACTGAATCAGTGACTTGAAGCTGTAAATCTACACACGGAAAAGTAGCAGATATGATCGAAGTTTGAAGTCAAGTTGTTGCTCACGAGTTGGAAAAATGTTTTTAAAATGTGTATAATGTAGTTTTAATCCATTTTGGTTGGGAGACGTCTAAAACGCAGGAGATCGTGAAGAAACATTTTCAAACTCTTACCATCAATGTGACATACGTCCTGTGCAATTCAGTCGAGAAACGTACAAGAATTAGGGGAACGATTTTTTATTTTTTTTTCAGGTGAAGCCATTCTTATTTTGGAACTGACTGAGATCTGCAACAAGTCACAGTTTTATTTAACTTGACCTGGTTTTATCTGAGAAAAATATACCCCATATAATGTTGATACTGTCGCCGTGTTTCACTCTGAGTCTGTTTGCCATGAGTGCAAAGCAGAAAGACATCTACGCTTTGCCTATTTATTTTTAGGCAATATATTGCTCTTGCAACTTTCACACATATTCCATCTTTTCCTAATGTCTTGTAGCCCTATTCAGACAGGCTTTTTTTTAAAATTAGCTTTAAATAAACTCTCTCCTATGCTTTTAGATTATTCCAGCCAGACCTGAATGCTTTCTTTGACGAAAAATACTTCTGCTTTCACATTTTTATATCGCAAATGTCTGACCATTTGACAGATATCTGAGATCCTTGTTTCATAAACCTTTCGTGTTGTCGACACTGTTGGTGGTTACAGCCTTAAAGCTGAGCATGTTAACTTTTAAATATGGTAAAACTGCATGAAAAAACCCTTTAACTGTATTTTTTTTTCTAGCAGCCATTAGCACCAAAAATGTTGTTTTATAATAAAATACACATGAATATCAAGGATTTATGTTCCTCTCAGTTAAATAAATACATGCTTAAGCTTTTAATGTCAGGTTCTACAAAGTTACCACCAGTCAGATAATTAATCAAATAACTAACTAGTGACATATTTCTTGAGGAGCTAAGTATTCCTAAAACATGGTTTTTAAAAATGACATATAATTTAAAGTTGCATTTACTTATTTTTAGTCGTCTGTTTCTAAATAGGATTATGTTTGTAGTTTATCAAGTTGTTTCATCACTTATTTTCCACCGTCTTTGTGCGTAGCCTATATAGATCCATGCAGTATAGATTTGACGTGCTGCTCATCATTTGGTTCAGTCACACAAAAGCCGCTGCCAGCCTCATGTTATGCAAAGAAGGTAGATGTTGACGTCAGATATCGAAGAAGTTATTTTGCCTGAACTCTGGGGTTGCACAGCTTTCACATGTGCAAAAACCAAAGCAGAAACTTTTTTTTGCTTGACAGCATAAATTTTGGGTGACTGATATACAAAAAAAACCAAAAAAACTGACCAAGCAAAATCTTGTCATTTATCCTGGGTGTGAAAATGTCATTCAGTGAGATATTCAAATTTGGAGACTGGCTAGAAGTTACCTTCACGAAACTCCAAACATTTCCAGCTGTAATTATTCACTTCAGCAACTTTTTAAATCTTGTAAAAGAACTGAAGAGAAAGTTGAATGTTTTACCCGACCAGGAAACCAGACGTTCTCTTGATTCTGTCAGCGTTCAGTTTTTCGTTATTGCAGTCAGTACACTGCAACCAGCATGCTTAAATTACATTACAAAATGCTTAATTTTTATGCTTGACGTTTCTAAATTCCTTGTTAATATTTGCTTTAGAAACATTTGATAATATTAGTTACATGATGCTGAATTACAACATTTAACATGTACCAATTAAGATGTACTTTGGGTTAATTAATGGATAATTACCATTTAATAACTAACATTTAGATGTCTAACGTTTGCTTACGTCTTGGTAGCTTCTAAAGTGTTGCAAACATTCTTGATAGACATTTTATTATCCAGCTTCTGTTTTTGGTGTTTTTTCTACTATCACAGACGCCTAAATGTTTAGTTACATGGTTATAATGCATATTAAAGCTATTCAAAAGATTTGTAATGGATTGTTAGCTGTGGAGAAACTTTTTTTACTTTGTTCTATAGAAAAAAAATTAAAAAATATATATATACATAAATATATATATATTTTTACTTTGCACTGGGAAAAAAAACAATTAATGGTTTAGTTTTCTCCTTGGGATGGGTGACATGCAGGAATTACTTACCCAGATAATCAAGGCAGTAATAGTAGCTGCTAGGCTGTAGGTGCTAAGAAGTGCAACAACCACCATCCAGATCCATACAGGTATGCCTGTTTTTTGCTCTTCTGGTTCGTCTGTTTTACATTCTTCTGTTTTGCGCGGGCATCCTTGTCCTGAAAGTACCATATGTTAAAGTTTTCTTTTAAAGTTAATCCTACAGTATGCACATTTAATATCGAAATGACGTAATCTCTGACATATTCACCTTCCTCAAGGATCAGGACTGTACTGTTGGTGCTGATGACAGGAGGAGGGTAAGTAACTTTACCCTCACACTTGTAGATGGCTTGCTTTGGGACTGCTTTTCTCGTGAGCCTGAAACCAGCAAGTGTCCCGTTCTCGTCTTTTTCTGGGTGGATGTCTGGATCGGTTTGGTTGCACAGTTTTTGAGTTTTGGGGCACACTTGAATCAACTTCTCGTTCTTGAAAAGCTTATATGTCACGTCAGTGTCTTCGCTCTTGGCTTTGACTTGTCCGGCAGACATGTTTGGGCAAGGCACAAACACATACTTGGGGCTTTCTGCTGTTGTGCATTGCACGTCCCACTGTTGCTCTGAAGAGAAAAACGTGAACGAGATTAAGCATTAGTTCAGTTTTTAGGGCAGTGATCGTACATTTCATTCATGCTTGATTGCTAAATGTATGTTCTGAATTAATATTTTCAAAACATCCTTCAAAAAACTCAAAAGAGCTTTACTAAAAAAATAAAACAAAAAAGAGCTTCAGAAATCCACCCTTCTTTATATTTTTGGTTTAATTTTGTCTAACAATGGAAATGGTTGTTTCACAACAACCACACGCCCACAGTGGAATCTGCTTAATATCAGCCATTTTAGGCACTTTTACCTCTCATAAGCATAATGAAAATACAAGTTTGTGAAGCGAGTGGCACAGTTGAGTCACCCAGTGTTGCTGCGTCTGTGCTACCACAAAGTTATGTGTCAAGTTCATTAAACTCCAACATAACTCTGTGTTTGCAGCGAGTGCTTTAACTATGTTGCTGAATGGTATTTTGCTGCTTTTCTTGAATTTTCTACTTTGTTGAACTCTACATATAAATAAATTAAATAGCAACAATTCAAGACATGAAACCAGACATTACTGTGTTCTTTGGAATTGCCTAACTAAAGTTGATAACCGTTCCTATCGTCATTTTAACCTCTACCGCAAGTTGCAAACTCTTATATTGTGTTTTTAACTTACCGTTGCATCTGCCAGATGTCGTGCAGCTCAGCAGGATTATTAACAACCAGTAAACTCCCATCATGGTCCCGTCTTCTGCACGGACAGTGACGACTTGCTTCCAGCAGAAGGATCTCCCCTCATCACCGACCAACTCTTAAGCTCCTGCGGCGAGCTGCATGAAGCCGTGTGCTTGCAGAGGAATCTGATCTGTCGCCTCGATATAGTCAACCCCGCTTCCACGCACGTGTTCTTGTCATGTTAATACATCATATCCTCGCTTTACCACCGAACGAAGTTCACCCACAGAGCTGCAGTGACTGAAGCTCACGCGCCTTCTCGAGAGAAAACATCCTGTGGCAGAAAACGCCTCCTCTTATGAAGTTTCCGCTCTCTCCTGGGGTTTACGACCTCCCGTGACTTACAGCTTGTGATCATGAATCAGGAATTAAACAAAGAAGTCATCAAATATTTGCCTTTTTTTTTTCCTGCTTTCTTTTGTGTGTGCTGTTTAACTTCTGAGATTTATTTTGTCAGAGAGTTTATCTAGGAGAAATGAAAGTCACACCGGTCACACAAAACAAACTGATACGTGTTGTTTTTATTTCCTGTATTTTCCCCAGATGGCCCTTACTTGTTAGAAATAGAACATATTTGCTGGAAAATAAAGCCATAAGGTCATATAAGTGTGATTCCTTTAAAATTAACACTAAAATAACATGCGGCACAAATGGGTACGTAAAGAATTTAAATATAAAATGTTGTGAGGTTTTATGTGGTATTTTATAAAAAATAACACACATCTAACAAAACATTATTGCAAAGTCCTGAAGTTGTTCCTGTTTGTCGAAACGTTTCCTTTTGCAGCTTAGATGTTGGATAGCATCTCTAGTTTCCTGTAAACGGTGCAACATTTGTAAGGAAACTTGCAGATTAGTCTGCTACTGACTCTTGTTGCATGTTGTTTAGTGAATTTGGATGTTTGAAGTTAGCCTGCCACCACCAGCAGTTTGCTTATACACTGCTGTGGGATGGCATCATGTTCTTCACCCAACAGTTTAAGCTCCTAAGAGTGGAAATAAGGGATTACCAGTTGCTGCAGAATCTAGTTTTAACATCTCGTTGCTTTGAGATTGCCTCCGTTTATGGCCAAGACTAACATCATCACACTCCCTCTTCCAAAATTTGTTTGGCCAGTGGCAGAGAAAGACTGGCAAGTTTTTTGTGAGTGCGGCTGAAGTTGGCCAGTGCTGTCACTTCTAAGAGTTCAAATTATGACCCTCCAGCATCGACTTCTCCCTTTTTAGTTGGAATTCTCGTAATGTAACATTGTGCAACACATCCAAACATCTCGACTGTCCAAAGTACCTTTCTGTGATTGCACAACTACATAAAAAAAGGGCAGTGACCCGATCCGTGAACCAGGTGGAGTGAACCTTCTGGTTGACGGCAACAAACGCTCCGCTGACATTTATGTGCCTGACATTATGTGATTTCAGGAAACGCTGACAGGCAGACAAAGACACATTGATGAGAAATGATTAAGAAACACAAAGTATTATGAGTCATTATCTAAGGAGCATGTACAAGCAAAGCATGTTCAGACCAGGGTGTAGGAGATGGTGACTTGTCTGAAACTTGTCAGCATAAATGTCTCGGTAAAAAAAAAAAGTGAGGAGAATCATCCACGTAGATCCACTAGATGGCAACAACGCACTTTATAATCATTCTGCTGGTGGCTCTCGCTCATCCTGTAGGCTTCATTATTGGTACCCGACAAGGTTTACCTCCTTTTAATACCCTGTCTTAACTTAAAAGTAAAAAATTACTGTCCACGTTTCCATTTGTGTCAGTTTACTTACATTAATAGGTGTTAGAAACTTTAATTAGGAAGAAAATATCTATTTTGTTTGTAGCATTCAAATCAGGAAAGGACAGAGATCCATATGGATGATGATAATATTTTGATCTGCAACACCCACCTCAGACCTGAGGGTAGCACCCTGTACATGAAATGATTCCTGCGTCTTCACACAACATGAAATTTTGTGTATTTCATTGAGAGTTTATGTAGTGTATGGAAACTTATACAAGGTTTACCTCTCTTTCTTTTTTTGCAGCTATTTTTTTATTTTTTATTTTTTTGCAAATTATCTCCAGATTAGACGGAGAGTCTGTGAACATGATTTTTTTTTTTTCTCATCTCTGATTCTTGGATTTAGGTCTAGATTTTGACAGGGCTGTTTAACTTATCTTTTAGTAGTTAATTTGTATGTAGTACTCAAATAACTAATACAGAAATTTCACCGTAGTACCACTAAAAGCAACCCAAGCACTGCCAGTGGTACATGTACCGCAGTTTGAGAACCAGGGATGGAAATAGTGGGTCCCTGAATTAACGCAAAAATATTTTCTGATTTTTATTTATTTTTATTTTTTTCGGAAAAAAAAAAGATTCATGCAGAATCCCCCCCCCCCAAAAAAATACTTTAAGGTTTGTAGTTTTAACGTGACCAGATGTGATAATTTATTTAGTTGTGTGTTAACTTTTTGCAAGACGATGCATCTCTAACGTAATTTCCGACGGCCCCTGAAGGCAGCGTCCATGTCCGTTCCTGGGCTGGACAGGAAACGACGGAGACGCGCAGCGTGTCTCCCCAGCAGCTGCGGGAGAGAAGAATGGGAATGGGAACAGATTTGTGGATTGCAGGCGAGGGAGCGCGTGGAAACATGAGGACAGTTTAAAATAGACTCATATTTTTAAATCGTTAATTATCCACATCGTAACAGGAGTTTGTCCCGATATTTTCTCCCGTTGAGGACAAGGATATTTATTTATTGTCTTGGACAGCACTGAGGGAAAAACGGGAAGCCTCTTTGTGAATCCCATTTCACAGTAAGTGGATTTAATTGTCAATTCTGGCACGTCGGGGACTTTAATCGCTTTTATTCTGTTTTATTAAAGCTATTTATATAGATAAAATGTCATAAATGTCGCTTTAATGTTGTGTATCCACATTGTTAGCCCATCCCAAACTGTGACCTCGGGGAAAAGAAAACAAGAAGTAGCTTTCCGACTTTAAAGACGCAAACAAAAAACATAACTAACATAACATACCAGCCTGTGTATGTGTCTGTTTGTTGGCTGTTTTCTGCGTTAGGATGTTTGAATGAGGGGAGTCCGTGTGCCTCATCTGCGGCCATTGAACGATCCCTTTCTCAGGGAGAAGGGCTGTGCAGCGTTTGGGTCGACTGGGAAAAGAGCCGCCGCTCTCCTGGGAGGGACAATTCAACATGAGCTCATTGTTTGGGAGCGTTTTGTCAGTTTTTGTTGGCAAAGCCCAGCTTTGACGCTGCCCGGGAGTATATCCAGGGTGAATTTTAGTTTCTCCCCCCTGCCTGCATCATCCAGCTAAACAAAAAAGATGTAGTCTCCACCCTGTCACCGGGAGGAGGCTGGCTCAGCCTCTGGTAATGGCCGAGGAGAATGTCGAGCCAATGTTTGGGCTTTCGCTGCTGAATTTGAGGAATACAGCATGAGAGAAATGCTGTGAAATAACCGGGCTGTGGGTGTTATGGTTATGTTCAGCCGGTGATGAACCATCCCTCCTCTGCAGCTCATCACCACCGGTTTAATCCTCTTTGTTGGGTGACGCTGGCCGCAGCAGATTGGATAACATTCAGCCAGTTTGACCACTGGGTCTCTTTATTATGTGCTCAGCTCTCACTGGAGCCTGGAGCGTCCATAAAATGATTATTTATGACTTGAAAATTGTCTTCCACTGTTTTCCACTGAAGTCTTTGAAGTGTTTTGAACAACAAGAAGATGGTGACCCTGGGTTGACCTTAGCGAGTTGTCATGGGTGATATGGCTTTCCACTCAGGGTGCCATGGCCTAAGGGGCGCCATAAGGCAGAGGAAAAGTTTGTTTCACAAAACACTTCAATGTGGGATTTATGCGGCATTTCAGTTACCTCTGAAGTCGTGGCTTTGACGTTAAAAAGTCGAAATTTCAACATGGTGACGCCTGTAGTCATTGTTTGTAGTACCTTCAGATTCATTGCAAAACTGACAGCTACAGGAATGCCATGGTGCATCAGTTGGCGTCCTTAATACACATTCAAGGTGTTGCCCTGCACTCAAACAGAGCAGATTACTGGACGCCGGCCTTGGATATTTTTATCAGAAGCATTTGAAAAAGCAACATTAAGGTGTTGAACCTTGGACAAGCTTTCCGTAAACAAAGTGACACGGAGCTGTGGCTACCTCGGTCGGTGGCTCGGTGATGCAACAGCGGCGGATTGATTTTAAAACCCGTCCAGTTCTCCTTCAATCCTTTCAGAAAACGCACAGAGACGTCAAGAGTATGTTTTTATCCAGGAAACTGGACGGAGAAGTCGATCATTTTCCAGCCAAGAACTCACCCTTTTCTAATTTCATTTAGGTTATTTTCCCCTTCTTTTTTAATAATTGTTTTTGGCAATTTTGCATTCATTTCATGTTGTCCTTTCCTTCCTCCTTTTCTATATTACCCAGCATTCAGCGCTTTCTTTCGTTTGGTAGCCACCTCACTTCATTTACATCTGTTTTGCCTCTTATTTGGCTTGTTAAACACATGCATTTCTGTGTGTGACTCAAGCTGGCCTGACTAGTTTATTCCCTTCTCTACTGACATTTTTTTTTTCCACAATCTATGACTTTTAATTTATAGCTGAACAACACAAGAAAAAGCCACTAAAGAGCCACTTTGCCCTGCCTTTATTCCCCACAGTGGCATTATAATAGGCCGTCTGTGGCCGATAGCACGCTTGATTTGCATCAAGAAAGCAGTAGACTAGAAGCACATTATTCTGGGCATGGAGACAGTGCTGCAACAATGTAGACCATCCATTAGTTTACAGTGCAGTTAATGGGCTAAAAATAACCACTAGCCTTCTGCATGCTCCCTCTTCAAGTAGCAACGAGAGGAAAGTAGCGGCACGTCGGGATCACATTTCCCTCTTTGTCTTGTCAGAGTTGTGACGTAAAAGATGCCCCAAAACGCATCTGGAAAACTCGCTGATGTATTCCTCCGGGCGCTGTTAGCGGCGTCTGTTTCCTGCGCTCCATCCCAGTCCTGAAGTGCTCCCGAAGACTTTAATTACGATTGGTTTTGTAAATGGAAGGGTCTGTTGGATGTGTGCTGTGTTTTTTTTGTTGTTGTTGTTGGAGCCAACTTTTCTTGTCTTATTCAGGCCTGAGTTTTGCCTCAACTGGGTTATCGCAGATGAGGAAATGCATGCAAGTATATTGCAATAAAAGTCCAGTTAGGATGGTATAACAAGATAAAAGCTGCTTGA